ATTGGTAGTACATGATCTCTTTTGACGGAATCCATGCTGTGCTAGGGAAAGTAGGTCGTATTTCTCTAAGTGTTCCATCAAGAAATCCGCCACGATGGATTCCATGACTTTGGATAGAACGGGTAGGAGTGTCACCGAGCGGTAGTTGGCAGGATCACTGCGACAGCCGCCTTTGTAAGTTGGAGAAATTATGCCCTGTTTCCACGACTGAGGCAGTACGGTTGCGTCAAACATCCTTTGGAACAGAAAAGCTAGCGGCTCAGATATGTAATCCTCTAATGCAATACGCGGTTGGGGATGTAGTTTGTCTGAACCTGGAGCCGAATACTTACGTAGACTCAGAAGCTTTGATTTCACTCTGTCGGCATCAAACGTGGGCATAGTTAGTGGTGGATTGAACGTGTTCCTACGTGGGTCTTGTAACTGACAGTCACCCGGGTGTGTGTAAGCTTGGTACTCTTGTATTTATCTTAACACTTATGAGTTCGTGAGCCAAGTTTTATTGAATCATTTGTGGCGTAACGTTGTGCATCAGCCGACAAAGAGCATTGAAAACTGTTTCTTCGGTGTTAGAAATCGATAATGATGCATACTTTTTGTCCCGTGGTGGTAGACAGCTTTTCTGTCGTCCAGTTCCATACCATGCCTAACCTATCGGGGCCTTATGGGGTTAGCCACTACAAGTCTCGGGGTTTAGGTTACCGGTTTCCATGACGAATAGCAGGTCTTCGTGATTACGGAATTCGCCCCGTCTGCTGTTCACCACACAAATATGTAATAAAAAACTCAAACGGCGAATATATGGGTTTGTAGCTGAAACTCTTTCAAAAACGAAATGCTCGGTTGTGATTCTTGATACATTTTCATCCGAAACTCCGTCGAACGACAACGTCGGTCGGTGTCAAATATAACAGTGTTTCAATTATCCAGATGTAAGAAAAACACAGTAGCGAACACACTCGTTTGCGTTGATTCAACCAGTGACTAATACATCATAATTTATGTCGAAATGTTTAGAAACGGGGAGAAACCATGACAAAAACAACATTCCAGTTCCGTGACGGAATATTGCTCACATATTGGTTGTCGTCACACCATACCCATTAGTTTCGGCCATTAGGGGTTGGTGGGAGGATGACAGTATTGTGTGCATTGTTGGCCATGGAAAACCGAGTGTTCTTGCGAATTGTTTCTCATTGCTGCTGTTTAATGCAACAGCAGTGTGGCTTTCGAGTAACAATATGCACCCCGATGTTCATCGTACACAAGGGCATCGTGTTTCTCTTTTTTGGTATTTTGATTTCAAATCAATTCTTCACACGTTCTATTATGATAAACGGGGAAAGTGGTGAACTCAACAGTGTTGAGAAATTACTGTTTTGTCGACTACGGAACCAATGATTTAAGCCTCGTAATTTGAAGTGAAAAACTACATGCGCCGACTGTACGAGACAAGTGGTTCGCGTATTTCCCGGAATCAACACGTAATTTGTGGTCAGATTACGGTGTCAATATCGTTCCCCAAACTGGTATTTGTTCCCTTCTCTCCTCTCCTTTTATAAAATATTCACTCTCTTCTTTCTAGTCGGTAACGTTTGTCCATACCTCGAAAAGGATTCCACTTGTTTTTGATCATGTATTCCTATTGACACTGCGTGAGTTGGTCGCCTGAACTCTCAACTGAAATAACTAAAATTGCAGGCCTCTTTATGCCGTTTCTTGTGGAAATTCGATCGCTGTTGTATACCAGGTGCATGGGGCAATCGTCCGTGTTTATGTGATACACAAATGTTCACTGCATCTTTACTTTGCTCATAAGTTGCACAGTTAACTGTTGATCATGAGCGTACGAATGCCTTTATTGTTCCGAGTATCACTTACAGGCCTTTGAAGAGATTGTAATACTTCGTTCACCCGATTGTCTACTGAGAAAAATCACCGAACACTGGAGCATTTGGTTGCAAAGTAAATAACCGTGTCAACCAACCCGTCGATTATAATTATTGACCTAGTAAACATGTTTTGCTCCATTTGGCCCTCACCTAGCTATAAAACTGTTCCCGTTTCGGAACTAGTTAATTTTATGATTCACTATAATTGAGCGATATCTGCACGCGTCCGCGTGCCATGTACTATTTATTGTAAATTCGAGCTCGTCTCACTCGCACTCAACTCTTCGTACTCATTGGTTTTTGTTCAGGTTGGGCTTGGGAAGCCAGTCTGCGTCCGTCGTTTGCCGAGGTTCATGCAGAATTGGAACAGATGTACACTACGATGAACATTGAAGCAGGTCAGTAACATTCCTGACGCTTGCGCGTCACAATAAATTCATTTGCAACATCGGGTATATTTTTTTTCGGATATATTTATGCATCCTGTGATATTTCACGCAGTAGCGCTTTTGTGTTTGTCTTCCTGCATTGATCCACCTTTTTTTGTATACAGTCAATCTCCTGCTAAGTCGAACCCCTGAGAAGTCGCATTTTCCAATATCTTCCCACTTTTTTGAAACCCAAACCAATTGTATGCCTAATTACGTAGTTTCTGACTGTGCGGTGTCGCACCTCTCAATATGTGGCAGTTCTTGATACGTACTCAGTTGGTCGTCGACCGATGTTCGGGACGACCATTGACCATTGACCACCCTGAAATGTCGCACTCAACCACTGGCGATGCAACTAGTGTGACGCGTTCATGGCACTGTTCACTGACTGAATAGTTCTTTCGAAGAAGTCACACCGATGCAAGTGAACGGAAACAGTGTCATTTGACGTCAAAATGTGCAAGCGCCTATCGATCAGAGAGAAGCAGAAAGCTGCTCAGAGCTCCCTAACCAAGTCACTTGGAATTTCAGGAAAAACTGTTTACATTATTGTATCCCATCAAACGACTATCGGAGAATTTTCGAACGCTGGAGCATCTGAGGGAAGATGCCATCTGTAAACCAACAAAAAGTTCAAGGCGGTGAATGAGGCAATTTTGGCCTAGTTTTTCGCTATGAGGACAAAGCACGGAGAGTTTCCAATGGTGGAGAGAATCGTGCGTAAGAAGGCAATCCAGCTAGCACAAAGATTGCATCACAATGACTTCAAGACTCCCAAAGGTTGGTTTCGCTCTTGGTCAGGCAGATGTGGTATTCAATCGTACAAAGTAAGAAACAAGCAACTCATGTGCCTTACTTTATGAGTCTGTGGAGAAAGTTTAGCGGTACTACGTGATGCAATGGACGAGTTTCGAGCGGGGTTACCGCAGTTGATACAAGGATATGCTGACTGTGATATTTTCAATGTAGATCAAATAGCTTTGTAGTAGAGGCAGCTCCCAGAAAGAACATTGAGTTTGAAAGGAAAGACAGTTTTTGCGTTCAAGAACTCCAAAGAGAGGTTCACGTTACTGCTTTGTGGGAGCATCACTGGAGAAAAGTTATCACCGTTGGTGGTTGGAAAGTTTCGAACTCCACGATGCCTCCGGGGTATAGATAGAAAAGCCCTCCATTTAGTTATAATTCTTCAAAGAACGCATGGATGACTTCTGAGTTATTTCACAGTTGGCTGTCCGATGTCAACCCCAGCATGGTTTCTCAAAAATGATCTATTCTACTATTTATGGAAAACACCCCTTGCCATAACCAAGCCGCAGTATTTTCCAACGTCAAGTTGGTACGGCTGCCTCCGAACTGTTCTTTGATGTTGCAACCAATCGCTCAGGGCGATTTGGTCTTTAAAATTTTCGTTTCGGAAACATTTACTGGAATGTTTTGTCTTTGATCGAAGATGAGCAACATTTCATGAAAGCCGAGGTAGGCATCTGGTCAAGAAAGCTTGGGTGTTTGCGTACCCGCACGTACTGATTAACGCTTTCATGAAATCCACATTGATTCAGCCGGTGATGCAGCCATCAGAGGATAAATGCCATTTGATCGAGGACTTTACTCATTATGTGTCTATTAATGACTGTCTTTTTGAAGAAGAAATCGCCTGTTGAGAATTTGATGATGAAGAAGTGGGTTATTTAAAATTTTTGTATCAAGTCTCTTTTTTAGTCATTCGCTGAATTCGTTTCGATTCAAGCTAAGCATCGCAAAGAAGATGATCGTGAGACAGTGAATGCGCGGGAAGTTATCTCAATCAGAGAGGCGCAGAAGTTATTGGATCAATTGAAGCTCTTTGCCTTGGCTAATGCTCGGAGTTCGGGTAGATTATTGTGGTGTACAGTTGATTTAAACAGCGCGTTTGTTGATATCCAACGGAGAGCCAAGCTGAGGCAAACGACGATTTATGATTTCCCCCAAAATACATCTTTGTAATCTGCAAGGTATTTTTGAAATTCTGTGGTTCACTCGAATGTCGTCATTTTTGCTACACCAAAGCCATGATCATTCGGCCTATCAATGGGCTTTGTCGCACTAACGTGCGATTGACTGGTAAGCGGGTGAGTAGAGTGAGATGTCAGATCCGAGCGATCGATAAACAACGTCACGCGTTCGCGTCTTTTGGCTGTGAATGATTGAACGATACTCTCACTTGTCCTAGAGCACCGATGAAATTAGACAGGTCACTTGTCAAAGGCCATGGCAACCCGGGTCTAATGATAGTTTGTGAGATACACTTTTAGTTTATGAATCGTTAACCGCTTGAGAGTTGCCGTAATTCCTGTAGGCTGGCGTCTGTGGTCTTCGGTTGGCTGAACAAGTGTGAATTTCTTCTCCTGTCTCACGCCTACCGGAAAATTTGCGCGAGAACCCGTTTAAAAATACTGCGTGTATCTTATACGAGTCAAATGTTGACCCAGTGTCATCATTGCTTGAACGTTTTCATTCCGAATCTCTCGCATGGCTCATCGTTCCACAACCGATTCTTCTATGTTTATTCTCTACCAACTTAAGTATCATCCGATTCAAAACGTATCCTCCTCCCATGCCGACCCGAAAATCACACGACGGATCGGGTTCGTTTAGCGATCGGTCGGATAGGTCCCGAGCAAGAAACCACACCTTGTCTACAACCGCGAGTCTTTAGCAGAACTTCGGCTGTACAACAGGCGGCATGCCTTCACCACGCGGATGGATTGCACATGACAGTAACATCATCACAAAAAGAACAAGACAATGTGAAACGATGGGGTAATCGGACTATTGTACTATCCACATAGCAACATAACATAATAACTTGATACTCGGACATATTAAATCACCTTATGGTATCGCGTGTTGAACTTAGTCCGACCGACAACGGTCATGATAAATGCATCAAACGGTTTGAACATACACTGGTAACAACAGAAGCGAACGAACGAATAAATGTTTACAGACGCTACTGATACATTTTTCAATGGAAAATCATGAATAGATTGCGCAACGAACAATCAGTTCCAATATGGGGAAGAAGTCAATGTTCTGTAACAGATGATTCACTCATTTTCGATATTATTTCCTCGCTTCTAACTGGTTAACCTTTATTTTCTTTGAATGGGTTAATAATGATGTGATTATTATAGCTAAAACAGTTGTATGTTATGGTGGACGTCATATAATCCATTCTGTGATTAGCCTAACGTTGCAACAGAATGGAGGAATATCTGGAACTAATATGGGATAATTGGTTCAACAAAAGTTCCTCTGAAGAAAGGTAGGTAGATTCGGGATAACTAGACACAGAACTGAAAAGGGCTGAATACCGCATGCAATGTACCGATATTAAGCTGAAGGCGTCACAAAAAATTTAATTTTCTTCGATACATACAGGATACGCAGGACGGTAGATCTAAATTCCGCTATAAATAAACATTTTATGATTATAAATATTGAGAAAAACCAACGGGATTAACCTACTTTTCATCTATCCGGTTTATTTTGTCACAAAACCGCCAACCGATTTTTGTACTGCTTGTTAGCACCCACTTACCCATTTTTTCGAATTCCCGACGGGTGCGGCATTGCAGGAGATTGACTATATATAGCTCACGGTGTTGACGAGAAACAAAGCGCAAAGCACTAACTCCGGTAGTATAATCGGGCGACGTGTTGAGTGTGGAAAACCTCTAGTTTGTGTTTAAACTGTTATGGTTCATTGGTAAACGCTGACGAGGAATGAGGGTACCGATTTTCACTGAATTCTAGATAAACTCCCGATTTATGAGGACAACTTTTCTAGATAATTCACTATATTTTCTTTTGTAGAAGTCGCTCGGGAACTGGAAAAGCGCCAGGCCGCATTTTCAACTGCGTCTCCTAGCGGTCAACCGACCCGTGGACCATCAGAAACAATGGGAGATCCTGCTTGTTCTGGTCGATTTGTCGATGTTCGACGCGCAGGTTCCATGTCATCTCAAGGTTTCTCTGTGCCTTTAGATTCGAGTGGAGTCGCTGTGCCAACCCCTAGATGGTTACACGCCGCAGAGACTGCCCATCATCCTCCCCGAATCGGTCATCCTTCCGGGTTACCTAACCGTGTGGTGCACGAAGGAGTCATACGTTCCGAAGTTGAGGATGACGATGATATTCAGGAGGATGAGGGTGATGAGGATGAAGATGAGGAGGGTGAATTTGAAGACAGTGATGAAGAGGATCCCCGGGACCGATGGCGTCAGCGAACAAATGTCATGAGGCGATCAGCTGGTCAGGTGACTCACTCTTCTGAGTCGTCGCAGCCTGTTGTTGTTGTCGGTGCACGGTCGAAATTCTCAATAAACGAGGCATCCAATGCAGTGGAGGGTTAGTGTACATGTTTGATTATCAACAAAATCAGTTTCGATTTTCTTTATGTACGGCGTGTACAATCTCAGCCTCTATTCCAACCCGGGTTCAACCCCAAGCAGTTGTGTGATTCGGAATCATATGTTCGCCTTCTGATTCGCCACTCCAATCTTTGTGAATAGAAAATTCCGGCCGTGTTCACCACGTAGTATGTATACCGTTGGACAATCTCACGGCATTCTGGTTTATATCCACGGTTCTGCTTTGAACTTATGGCACGTTCAGTTTTTTATGAATTATAAGGTGTGCCTAGTATTGTTTCAAGTAAAAACTAAGCTGGTTTTGCCTATTCATTCACGACTTTTCTCCACTTCATACCTTGCGTTAGTGGATAGATTTTACAATAAAATTATCTGATTTCTCTGAGTATATCTCGTCCACCGAAACTGATTCCTTTGTAAGACCTAATAATTTGATGTCGAATCTGTTCGCGGTCTTAGCTGTTTTCTGCGGGATGTGAAATAATTCCCCACCTAGCTATTATACGTTTATTCGCCGCTGTTATCCTTCACCGTCAAAAATTCTCAATCTAAAGTATATGTTAGGCATCCTGACGGATTAGACGCAGCACGTATGTCCGTTGCGGTGACACTGACCACATCGATTGAACATCCATTTTATGGTACAGCTCCGACTGTAAACATATTTACATCAAGTAAAATTAGTAAAAGTGAACCTTTTCAACGCAGTAGCAGTAGGGTAGGATGTGTTGGTCCCTGACCAGTGTACTTTTCATTTTTGTCATGAACAACACATTGTTTCAGGCTCCCGAGTGAAAACGAAACTGCAAATATTTCAAACCGACATTGGTTTCGTGTGTAGTACGTTATCCTTTGAAGAGGTATTTCTGCCACACCGGATCTCACGCTCTTCAAATACATCAAAGCCGGTGTCCATCGTGGCCATTACATCCTTCACCTGCTTTGAGATCATCGTCTTTTCCGCTCACTTACACGAGCTTATGATAGCCAACGACCCCGTTTACCGTCCGAAATTCTGATATTCTCTGAGAAAAGCCCTATGAGACATGGAGACACTATATAGTACCAGCACGAAAGTGCATGGTTAATGGTTGTACAAACTGAAACTGAATATATATATATATATATATATATATATATATATGTATATATATATATCATGCACGTCTAAGTTTAGCCTGTAGCCAAACAAATCATGGTACAGTAATCTTTATAAGAAGAAGAAAGGTCCATCGTTTGCATGTGGGCGGAATACTGCCAGGTTGCCCTGACCAAATCGGGCGAAATCTCTTGAAGAATTCACAACTGGAGCCTTCGGCTAGCCAAAGTCTGACCCACAACTCGGCTTTGATGGGAAACACCGCCATGAGATGGCACTGAATAGGGCTTTCTCAGCAGGGCCATTTGAGATGCTTGGTCGTGTGGTAGGGTTTCAAGAAATGCAAATTAGAGGTGACCAATAGCAACCCGAGACTCCCAATCATCCTGAGGCTTTCGGAGGCACCAAGAACAATTGAGTCCTCTAAGGAGGGCAGGTATTTTATCCTCTTACGAAGACACCCATTCACAACCGTATTCGAACACTCTGGTACATTTGTTTGAAGATGAGAGAGATAGAGGAATTTTAAAATCTCTTTGTATTATCTCAACCTACATTAGCCATTACTTTGTCTACTGGTCCCTTTCTGTTTTGCTTTTCTGTGAGTTAGATCGGACAGTTAAAGGTGCATTTCGGAAGCTCAGAACAGTTTTGACCATTCCATTTTGCTTTTACAGGTGATTCTTCTGCTCACGTGGTGGATCAGTTGCGCAATCAAATGCAAGCCACGTCAATGACACCGCGTGAAGGATTCCACGTTTGTTCCAATGCCAAATCAGGTCGCCGGGATCCCAGCTCATCTCAGACGCGGGTGTTTGCCAGTCAGTCCCCTATTCCGATCACACAGGGACAACGCTACTACACTCCGCCACCGAATGTTAGTAACCTGTCAGCTGTTCAGTCCCATCGCGAACCGATTCCAGACGATCTGATGGCTGCTGGTGCGTCTGCCTCAAAGCAGCGTTCCATTGCGACGACTGCAGCCGGATCGAGTCACAGCATGAATTCTGCTGGATTCAGTCGTGACAAGGGAGACCGTCCAACTAATACACGTCCCGGTCGTTCCCGTGTTTGCCGAACTCGGGGAGCGTCTGCTACCCATTCATCCGCTACTCAAAATCATCCACTAAGTACGCCCTACAGTGAACGGATTATTGTGTTGTTCATATTAATTAATAGACATCTACTCTTAGGAGGTCGATATTTTCCCATATGTTGGTGCAGTGAAATGCGATAGAATCTTGGTTCTGATAGTTTAGATCGGAAGGCAATTTTGTATTTTCAGCCATGTCATGAAGCGCCTAGTGTCCATTAGTCACTGTTATCGGTTTTGTGTAATGCATTTTGAGAGCTCGCCCCACATTGCGAATCGCTCAGGGAGACCAAATTATTTTTCATTTCTTTGCGAGCATCGCTAGCCTAAACGGCCATATTTTCGAATTCCATCCGGGCAGTTCAATATAGCAATATTTTTTGATAGAATGTGCACTGCATTCAGACATACAGTTTACACTGTTGGGATCCAAATGGTAGCGCAATTCTAGATAAGGTCAAGGTTCAGAACCGCCGTTTAGACATAGGGATTTGATTAACTCACCCGTCCTTTTCCGCTCTCCCCATAATTCAGATGGAACTACGCGCAGTCGTGACACGGACACACCCGATGAAAGTGGAGTCGGAGAGTCAATCATCTCGAACGACTCGCCGGCAGACAGTGGTGGTGGTGTTATCGGTTCAGCCCCGCCAAATGTGCCGACATCGGACACTCGTGCAATGGCTCTTTCAGCGTCATGTAAAACAGTGGACAATCCATCGGTGAGTTGTGAGGACCACACACACATACACAGATCTGCACTTGGATTCCTTTCACACCTATCGTTTTTATCAAAACGAGCATAGCAAGTAACTTCAATGGAGGCCAGGTTATAGATATCTTTCAATCTCCAACATTAGCTACACAAATGTGGAACGAACCGCTGCGCATACGGTTTTTCACCAACAAGCGTTGCCTACTGTTAATTCGGATTCTGTGGTGGGTTATTTGGACCTTTTGCCAAGTACATCATTGTTTTCCCATGATCCACCACAATTGCGCATACTGATCATTAGTAAGGCCGTTCTCGCGGTGCGATATTAGTATAATTTCTCTTCAGCATGGTTCCAAAGGAATACAGAGCTAATAATACCAAAAGACGAACAATTTAGCGAACCAGCTTTTCTTCGTAATGTTCTTTTCTATCTTGTACACGAATGCAGGCATAGCTATGAATACTGAAAGAGGAGGTCACGAAAACAAGTTTGCTAGCTGTATTGTTTATCTTTTAATCAAGCGATAGCAAAAATACACAACGTACCATTTTTCTCTACCCACTTCTTTTGTTTGTGATCAAAAGGAGTTGCTCAAGGCAAAGTTTTCCATGCAGATTGTCTTCCTTTAACCGTTGAAATGTGAACTTGGGGTTTTCAAGATTTCTCAGAGCTTGATCTAATAGTTGTGCTCCTAAAGGAGTTGAGCCTTATATAGCAAGGTAAGAAACTCTGTAGAGTTGTTCATGAAAGTACCAAGTACTTGAACCGAATGCAGGAGTTTCCTTTCGGAATTCATTAGGAGGTCGTGGTTACGTGAAGCCAAATCCATCGCGCAGCGTACAAGGGTTCAATACAAGTGCTAATGATAGTTCAATAACTATATAACGCCCTTGGGATGGAATCATCTCTAAACGAACCATTAATTCGCACCTCACCGCGACGCTGAATTTCGTTTTTGAAGGCCAGATACATCGTCCTTTGTCACGGAACTGTCATTGGGTTTATACGTTTTTATTGGGAGTCAGCGCGCTAGCTTGAAACCCACAACACCCTAACGGCACCGTAACTATGTTCATCATCACTTATTATTCGCGGCTAGTCGATACTTGGTCGCGGTTAATCTCTAGCACAGATATGCGGCCGTAAACAATTCGCAGGTGAGCCTCGTAGGGTGCAACTCAGCATCTAACCCAAAACATCGAACCATAGCATTGATTCTTCACTGGATTGGCTCTGAAAGATCTGTCTAGCCAATGGTCACCCGGTGTTGCAAACAAAGTTATTGTAACGAAGATACACTTCCTGGGTACAAGTATGTGAATGAACTGGCAAAAGATTACTGGATACGCATGCCTGACGAGCGGCAAGAACCGCGAAACCGGTTATGTGCTTTCAGGAAAATTTTGTTCAATCATTCACACACTACTTATGACCAAATGTATATATATATATATATATATGACAGTGTTGTAAACAACGGGGTTGATTGTTGGTTTTGTACCTCGAGAGCATAACTTGATGTTCATTTGTTCACCGAGCTTCGCAATTGTATTGGAAACGTCTCATCATCAATCGAGTCAATACTCAATGCAGTAACTGGGTGAGTGCTTAAGTGATTCCTTTTCCTTATATAGGTCAGAGTGACGTGGCGTTGCCTGATTGGCTGATGTTTGTTGGCCTTCTGCCGATAGGGGATGAGGTGGACGCGGGCAGTCTGACGGCTGGTCGTTGATCGATCAGTCTAAGCATTACTGTCGTCACTTGTAACACGACCCACCTTTGTTTTGATTGGTCCTTTTGTTGCACGGCGGTGTAGACTTGGTCGATGTTAGTGTGTCGGTTGGTCGAGTATTCCGATGAAGCCTTAGCTTCCGGAAATTCTCTTGCGTGCTTGGTGCGGGTCTGATCGACAACTTTGATGTTTTCGAAATCGAAGAAGTGTCCTTCTCGGTCCTCGTGAAGTGAGATGGGTGAGAGCGCACCGCGACTTCTGACAGCCAGTTTGTTTGTGCACGCTACTTGCTAGTTTTCTCCTTGTTTGACCGATATAGTACTTGTTGCAGTTGATGCGGTAGATCACATTTGTTCGATTTTTTCTTCTTGTTGTTTCTTGGTTTTCGGTAAGATGCTCCGTAGGGTTGTTATTGGTGTGTGAGCGACTTCAATGTTGTGTGGCTTCAGTATTCTTATAGTCATTTCCGAAACGTTCTTCACAGACGGTAGGGTTATTCGGTTGTCCTTGTGTGTTGTTGAGTTCGACTTATTGTCCGTTTAGCGAAGTTGCAGGTGTAGCCGTTGCGGAGAGATACTTGATAGAGGTATTACTCCTCTTGCTGCCTTAACTCTTCAGTGCTGCAGTGTATATTGACCTATATAT